TGTTAACAACAATTAAAATTGGTCTTCGTCGAAGGGAGGACACTAAAAACAATTTCTGAAACTATGGATGAAAAGGATAATGTATGTTTTGATTTTCGTATGTTATGTATGTGTACAGCCCAGCAAATTCGATTTAGGAGATCTGCTGTATGGCTTGAAGAATTCAAAGTTGATCGTCCCTTCTTAATACATCTCTACTCTGTCAGTGGTGTGAGAATATTTTATGGCAGTGTCAAAGAAGTTGAAGCTATACAGACAAAGTCAAACAATACTGCTTTGAATGACATATCTGAACCCCCTGACAAACATACTGAACTCTGATATGTGAGTTAATCTACTTGCAAACATTTCCTCTTCAATCTACTGACTCTGCACAAGAATAGCTTCAGTCCAGGGATATGAAAATGTGAATACAGAAGATGATAAATTAATAACATATTAGAGGGTAACTAAAAACAAAATGATCTAAATGGATCACTTTATTTCTAACTTGGATGTTGCATGCATTTTCTAATTAATTTGCTGTAGCTCCAAAAATATAATTTCAGTTTCTAAATAAAAATTAGTGCAAGAATGTTGTAACTTCGTATCATTTGTTTCATTCTGTGCTTTCAAATTAATTAGTGTTTTGAATTGAGAATGGGATTAATAAATCTTAAACTGTAATTTTTTCACAAAGATTTTGTACATTTTCCATCACTAAAAAGAACTTTGTCACAAATAATATGCATGAATAAATTAGCAGATCTAAAGAATTGTTGATAAAAATTACATTTTGGAAGGTATTATAAGTAAGATGTTCACTCTATTACAAACCCCGCTGGAGCATCACTTGCTGGGGAACACAGTTCCATTTGATGCACAGAGTGTGGTTTGAACATCATTCTCAAGTTGGCATTCTTCACTAGTGCTATTTACTGAAATAGTTGTTCAACCATCAAGAAATTTAGGCATTATCAAAAACTTTTGTTACCGCAATTTTATTACTAATTAATGGCTCCTTAATTATTTTTGTTGTAAGGTTTTTAAACATCACCTTCTTATTTTTTGAAGTTATCCATTCCAAAGCAAAGAGACTGCAGTACTTTAAATACAAATGTTTCTTTAGTTTATATAATGCTTGATGCTTGATTGATGCTTGCTGCTATTTGCATATAGCTGCTGAGTATGAAGACTAACACTTTCTATAATTAATTTCTTTTCTTTAAAATAATTTCAAAATGGATGTGGAAGAAGATGTAAATAAATTGTTCTTTAGTTGTGGTAAGGTGGTGTCAAATCTAAAATCTTTGATAACTTTTCTGCAGGCCTTGCTATCATGTTATGTTCTCTGGTAATTCCACCAGTCCCAGAAGTGTTTAAAGCAGATCATTCCTTCATCTTCTTCCTAATGAATGGGGTCACCCTCTCTGCACTCTTCCAAGGACTTGTGACCTTCAGTGTTTGTACAATTTTTATAATTTATTTTTGCATGAAACATTTCTTGAGATAACTGGAAATAACTCAATGCATGCCTTTTATTCTTGTAGAAAGAGACTATCAAATGCGTATGGAAGAGGAAAAAAGTATTTGCAACCATCAATTTCCTATCTTTTATTAAAAGTATTGGTCACAATGTTCACTTTCCATTTTTGCTTACAGTTTGCTGTTTCTTACAATAGTTTGACAATTTGATTACAAGATAAAAAATGCTATTCATGATACTTCACAAAGGAACACACTGACCAGATCTGCAAAGGAAAAAGTTAGATTTTGTCTGCAAGACATTTTATCTTAGGGGCACACAATAGGGAATGTGCTAATTTATAAAATAAACATTTCTCTCTTTATGAAAATATCAAAAACTTAGCTAAATAATATTATATTCATTTCATTTAGTTAAATTTTTCAGTAATTAAATTTGAAAATATACAAAAATTTAATATCTTATTAAACATATCAGCACCTACAGAGAGCACTCAAAAATAATAATTGTGGGCTTTTTAAAAACTGAGAATCTTAACCCGAATAATGACTAATTCTTTCCAGTCTGTTGTACTTCCAAAAGTTAAAAATATAAATGACTAGACAAAAGTATATGAAGCTCCTGTACTTTGTAAGACACATTAAGAATGACGATTGTATCTAAAAATAATTTTGTGCTCATATACAGGGTCTTTTGCATAACTCGCAACCCATGTCTGAGAGCACTTGCTCTTGCTTTGGTAATTTGGCAACCACGTGTTTTTTGCCACGTTTCAAGACAGCAAGTCGAGGCAGCAGTGGAGGTAACTGTCAGGTCGTAAGCTGCAGCAACTTTCCTGTTTGTTTTTTCCCATTCAAGAGCTTAGGTGGGCAGGTACGCAGCTCACATGTCGAAGCATTTCGACATGTGGGTGGGGTGGAGAGAGGCGAGCCAACACATGAACTAGAAACAAAACTGTAATACTGAAGATGTGGAGAGAAGTTATAACTGTTTATCAATTTATTAACACCAATGTAAGAATAATTATTATTTAATGAAAGTCAGCTCAGAGAGAAATTAGAAAGAGATCTTGTGAAACATTACTGCCAAGCTTTTCATTATGTATAACTAATAATGAGAATAATAGTAATATAATAATAATTGTTGTTATTATTATTATTATTGAATCTGATTATTAAGCATATAAGAAAGCCTTAATAAAATTATTAAAAATACCAATAAAACAAATCAGTAGTAAATTAATAGTTGTTGAAAATAATTAATAAAAATAATAAAATATTATTTTCTTAAAATGATAAAAAATTGACCATGAAGTAAATGCTCAAAGTGACCATCATATGCCAAGACACAGGCGTTTACTCTTTTCGTGTAGTGGCTGCAGTACGTTGAAAACTGACAAGGACAGAATAAATGCTTTCTCTTTCCTTCAACTAAAATTAGCCACATTCTCTCACTCTGAAATCTAAGGGTATGCAGCCTTGGGTTTCTAAAAGTGAAAGGGATGTCGATGGTATTTCATGTGATGCCAAATTGTGAAAACAAGAGGTGGTGTTTCCAGACATGGGTTGCGAGTTAAGCTAAAGACTACATTTTTTCCAAAAAGTAGGAAAATCTAGGAAACTCATAAATACCGGATTGTGTACAAGGATATATTATAATAAATATACTCTATTTTGGCTATTTCCAATACATTTATAGTAATAATAGTAATAGTAATAGTAATAATTTTGGTATCATCTACTTCTTGGTGCAAAATGGTACATCCTTATGAGAACAATGCAAAACTCTTTCTGATGTGTCTTATTTCTGTTAGTATTAAATCCAAGTACGAGACATATTTCCAAACACATTGGTGAATGCAATAGTTAAAACAATTTTTGGTTCATTTACATCTTTTATAAAAAGTAGAAAACTCGGATAAACAATGTTAGCTTCATTTCATTTACTGACATTTTTTCTAGATAAAAGTTCAGAATTCAAGGATTTCAAAGTTTATTAAACACACTTGGCAATTACGATAAAACTCTTAAATAATTTGTGGTCGTCTGTCAGTTTTCAAAAAACAAAAAAAACAGATACTTAAGTGTGTGATTTAAATATAAATTTTAAACATGTCTATTTGATATTGATGTATGGGTGATGGCAATTTAAACAAAAATTATTGTGAAAACAGTCATATTTGGTAACATTCTGATGTAACAAAAAATTGTTCGATTGTAATTATTCTATTGCATGTTGAATTTTTTGTGTTGTGTTCAAATTAAGTAGAAGAGATTGTTCTTTCACAGGATTGATAATGGCCAGATATGCAATGCCACTCTTTCATCCTGCAGTAACTTTCAAAGTTGACCATTCATTCATGTTTAATCTTATGAGTGTTAATGCAAACGTGGCAATTTTCCAGGGTCATGTTACTACATTTAGGTATTGAAATGTTTTATTTCTTCAGCTGTTAATTCGGTATACATGTGTGACATGCTTATATGGCTTTTTTTGTATGGGAGATGTTAGAAATAAATAGATTTGAATGCATTCTCAATGCTAAAGAAATTCAGACCAGAAATGTTTTTCTTCCTTTTCTGTTCCTTATTCTTGTTCATTTTCAAAAGACATCATCTAGCCTTGGTTTTTAATAGACACTTGTATTATTTACCCATTTATGACAATTTTGACTTATCATTTCTTTTCCTTGAGATGCTATTTCTTTTGTGGAAATTTCCATATTATGTTTCTATGCTATTATTTTATACAGTTCACATCCTGCAGTTTCAAGTCATATTCTGTTTGCATTATTATGACTACATCATTTGCTTACTGGATTGTGTGGATATTCTGTCTTTTACTGATATTTATTCTCTTTCTTATAGTTGTTTCCATTCCTTGATTATTTTGTTGGCATTTGTGTTGGACAGGCGTGGTGACAGGTCGCATCCTTGTTTTAACCACATTTTTTGGAAAGATTTTGACACATTTCCATTTTTCATTTTTATTTTCATCCGTGAGTCACTGTAGAGGCTTAGGATTACTTTTCTAATTTCTATATGTATATTCTCTTCTTGTATTGCTACATTAATTCACAGACTTCTGTATTATAAGCATTCTCATAAGAGGCTGTGTATAAGTTACATAATACTAAATAGGAGGAGACAGGGTTTGAGGCAGCGTTATGCTGCAATACATAGGGGAAGGGGGGTATTCCATTAGTGTTATGTAATATTAATTTATTTTTTTACATTTTTTACATTTGTTAAATTACTTTCTTATTTGATACATTAAAACACTAAAATATTATCTAATTAATTTGTTTGAATGAATACCCATTTTTATTGATCTATAATTTATTTTCACCTATTGTATTTACATATGGAGTGGGGTTGTTGCAAGCATTACGTAATTATTGCGGGGAGGAAGGGGGTCAATCGCATGATACGGTTGCTCTACAGGGGGGAGGGGTATTCAAAATACTCCAAATTTCGTCACATAATTTATGGACGGCCCCTTAAATCATTGTTTTAAAACCGAAATTTGCTTCATAATGGAGCCCAATGTAGAGGCCAGAATCCGAACTGTACATTGAAACGCTGTAGGACTGTAATTAAGGGCCTGTACTACCTCACATTCACCACAGGTTCCCTCACAAGTTTACCGCACATTGTCACGCTTGCGCGCATATCATATAAATTTTGGCATAAACCCCCAGTGTACCTCCACATGCTCCCCATAAGTTCCCGTGCATGTTTCCTTGTATGTCCGTATCACGCCCTTGCATATTTCCCAAATGTTGCTCGACATGCTCCTTCAAATGTTCTTTACAATATTCTCACAAATTTATGCCAAATCTTACTCTCATGTTCACTGCACGTTCCCTTATTTTTTAATAAGGAAATTAATTTAAAAGTTCAAAAATTCAATTACGAAATATTTGTACTAACGTTTTTCCGACAGTGTAGAGCCTCCCCTGTCGAATGAAAAGGGAAAAT